GTCTCATTCATTAGAAATTCCATTACTTGTCCCAATCACTAAAGGGGAGTATAGTGAGGAGGGCTGTCAGAGGTGCCGGGATTTGAGGGTATATCACAAGCGGTGGAGGCAAGTTGATTTCGGTCATCAGCAGTCTAGGCCAACTCCAATTCTCTCTGTGGATCTAGATCCAGGTACCACAGTTCCTTTATCTTCCACTATAGATGAAATGCCTTCCATTTTTGAGCCTTCTCCTCTGTTGGATGATCTTGACCTTCCTATTGCAGTCTGTAAAGGGAAACGCCGTTGTACCTCATCTACAACTCATTGTATTTCCTAGTTTTTGTCTTATGATCATTTGTCTCCATCCTACAAGTCTTTCTTGGCATCCATTGTTACTATTCCCATTCCCAGAACAGTGTAGGAAGCCTTGTCAGTACCTGAGTGGAAAGATGCAATGAAGGTAGAAATGGATGCTCTTTTGAAGAACAATACATGGGAGTTAGTTGATCAGCCTAAAGGGAAGAAACTGGTTGGGTGTAGATGGGTGTTTATAGTGAAGCATAATGCTAATGGTTCCATTGAAAGATATAATGCCAGATTAGTTGCAAAGGGGTTTACACAGACATATGGCATAGACTATTTGGAGACTTTTGCACCAGTAGCAAAGATGAACACTATTAGAGTTTTACTATCTCTTGCAGCCAATTTCTCGTGGCCATTGTTTTAGATGGATGCTAAAAATGCCTTTCTCAATGGTGGCTTGCAAGAAAAGTTGTACATGCAGTTATTTCCTGGATTTTATAGTGTAGAAGCAGGAAAGGTCTCCCGGCTTAATAACGCCTTATATGGACTGAAATAGTCTCCTAGAGCCTGGTTTGATAGATTTAGATAGGCTCTTGAAAAATTCAGCTATGTGCAAGCACAATTAGATCACACTCTTTTTATTAAGAAAGCGGATTCCTCCTTAACCCTACTTGTTGTATATGTGGTGACAGGGAGTGATACTTGTGAGATTGACTCTCTTAAGCAACTCCTTCACCAAGAATTTGAGGTCAAAGACTTGGGAGAGCTACGTTATTTCATGGGTATTGAGGTTGCACGGTCTAAACATGGGATTTTTGTTTCCCAAAGGAAGTATGCTCTTGATCTTTTGGAAGAAACTGGGAAGCTAAGTGTTAAGCCTGTTGATACACTTATTGAACAAAATCACAAGATCAGTGCAAAAGGTGTGAGAGCCCCTTGAAGATAAAGTTACATTCTAACAGTTGGTTGGAAAAGTTCTCTATCTTTGTCTCACACGCTAGACATCTCTTATGCAGTCAATGTTGTTAGCCAGTATATGCATTCCCTTAGAACCACTCACCTACTTGTAATTGAGAGGATATTGGCGTATTTGAAGAGATGTCTAGGTAGAGGTATACTCTTCAAAGACAATGGTCACATAAAAATAGAAGCTTACATAGATGTTGATTGGGCTGGATGTGTTGATGATAGGGGGTCTACCTCTGGGTATTGTGCTTTTGTGGGCGGAAATTTTGTTTTTTGGAGAAGTAAGAACCAAAATGTTGTTGCTCGCTCCAGTGTTAAAGCTGAATATAGGTCTATGGTGAATGGTGTGGCTGAAGTGTTATGATTGAAATCCCTATTTGAGGAGTTGGGTATTGCTTATGAGAAGCCCCTCATGCTGTACTGTGATAATCAGGCTGCTATTAACATTGCCCATAATCCGGTACAACACGATAGAACTAAGCATATTGAAGTGGATCAACACTTTATCAAAGAGAGAGTTGCTTCCCAAGAGAGAGTTGTAGAAAATGGACGAGATATTAGTAGATGGTAACAATCCTCCCCATGAGCTCTACAGAGGGTATACTAGTTTGGAGAAATACAAAGGAAAGGTCTTCTCTTTTGTAAGTTATCTAAAGTGTTTACTTTCCCATAGTACACTTCCCAACAAAAAGCCATAATCTTTGGGGGAACTAGCCCGCACCAAATTTCCTTTGACGGAAAAAGCTATTGGACAAAAGACTAAGAGATGGACTTGAAGTAAGAAGCACAAGTAAAGGTCCCTTTGGGCCTAGGAGCCCACACCCTTTTGTCTGGCTTAGAGGGATCCAAGCAAACCTGATTAAGGCAACAAAGCAAGTCAGAGAGGGATTCAATTTCATCATCCCTTAATCTGGTACGAAACTCGAGATCCCAATTAGGAGACATAGGTGTTCCCGAAGATGAGACATTTTGAGACCACCTCTTTTTTATACAACGAAACATGAATTTACGAAGGGAAAAGGTCCTTTAGAGGGGTGTTTCCTACCTAGATGTCCTTCCAAAATTGGGTAGCATTGCCAAAACAAACTTCATACCTGACAAACCTGAGAAATTGAGGATGTTGTGAATGACCTTCCAAGGTGCTACCAAGTTAGCCGGCCTTGATACACGAGCATCCACCCATTCTCTGAACTCCCATGAATGCTTCCCACCACTTCATTTATTTCAACCACGGCCATTTCCCCAACAGAGCTTCATTTGTTTCAACCACCCTCTTTATTCCCAAACCCCCCTCTTCTTTACTTATACAAACAATTGCCCATTTAATCAAATGATCTTTTTTCCTTGTCTCGATTCTCACAGGAAATCTCTCATCAACTTCTCCAACTTCCTAGCTTCCCTAGGTGGTATCTTAAAACAAAGGAAGTAAGTGGGTAAGTTAGCCAATGTAGTTCTTATTAAGGTGATTCTCCTTCCCAAAGAGATGTAATTCTTCTTCCACGAAGATAATCTCTTCTCAAACTTTTCTAGCACTAGGGTCCAAAATCTATTCTCCGTAGGATTTGTCCCTAATGGAAGGCCTAAGTAGGACATAGGCCCATTGCCTTTAACAATGAAAAAAGAAAATGCAAAGATAACTTAACATGTGGAGCAATGAGTTTGCATGGTTAACCCTCCAATAAAATGCAACATTTTATCAGCCAATTGAAAAACCAAATCACCTACTGAGTACTTGCCTAGGTGATTTAGTTTCAATGTGTTCACATGGTTGCAACACTTATTTGTGATCCTCTCATAAAACACAAACATGCTATTAATCAAATGAAAAACCAAATAATGAAATGAGTTCATCCTGCTTTGGCTACCCCAAATGACACACCAACAACCTATTAACATCTGAAAAAATAAGAATTGCCTCTATGGTCTACTCCATTACTATGACAATTGAAAAATATCAAGGTAGGCTAACATGTTGAGTGGTTAATTCAAATGACCATGACGCTTCATGTAACCCTCTAATAAAACACAAGCATGCTATCAATCAAATGAAAAGCCAAATCACCCAGTGAGTGCATGCATGGGTAGTTTAGTTTCGATGAGTTCACATGGCCACAACACTTTCTTGCAACCCTACAATAAAACATAGAAATCCTAATAATCAAATGAAAATCAAATCATCCAATGAGTGCATGCATTTTACCTACCTCAAATGATAGTATGATACAAAACAACCTACCATGTGAAAAAATAGAGACTACCACTTAGGTTTACTACCTTACTATGACAATCAAGAATTGCCAAGGCAGGGGGTGCCTTGTCACCTTGTCGCCTAGGCATCGCTTAGGCAATGGATGCCACTATGCAAGTAAAAAACATATATCCTAGGGTAGTTCCCTAGGTTCCATAACCATATTTCCTTAATAATTATCCATAATTTTCATAAGAAAAGTATAAACTTCATGTTAAAGTATAGAAAATCAACATATTCATGAGAAGAAAAAGAAGAAAGAAAAGAAAATTCAAAAAACATAGGGGCTGAACCCTTATTTTTGTTATAGGAAAAGGAGAAAAGTAAAGGTAGAGGAAGAAGAATAAGATGTGGAAGAAGAAAATGTGTTGATTAGACAAAATTTTGAGTTCTTCCTTATTTATTCAGGTTTTGAAGTCTTTGAGGGTTCAATACAGCATTTGGCAATGTTTGCGGTGATTAAACCCTAACAAATGAGAAAATAATAAAAAGAAATTAGTATATAAGCACACAAAATGAACATTTTAGTTTAATAATATCTATTTTATAATTATAATCTCAAAAAATTATGAATATAAAAGTATTTTATAACACAATGTACAAACTGCTTGGCAGTTAGACAAGGCGAGCCTCCAAGGGTGCGTTGTCGCCTTGACAACTATGCCTCAATGAGACATGAACTATCTGCTATCATATGATGAAATGGAAACTACCTCTAGGATCCACTACCTTACTAGGAATACCAAGAAATATGAAGGTAGCCTAACATGTGACGCCTAAGCAATAAGGTGCTCATGGAGGGTTGCCTCACTTAACTGCCATGATATTTTTTACACAGTGCTGTTGGATACTTTTATATTCTTAACTTTCTGAGATTATAACAATAAAACTAACATTATTAAATTAAATTATTCAGTTTTGAGTTAAAATACTAGTTTCTTTGTCATTATTTTTCTTGTGTTAGGGTTCAATCAAGATTTATACTCTCTTGAAGCCTTGAAGACTTCAAAATCTGAACTAATAAGCAGAAGAATTCTAAATTTTACCCAATTAACACATATTGGTTTTTGTGCTTTCATCCTTTCTTTTCTTTTCTTTTCCAAGGACAAAAATAGAGGCCCAATCCTTCTATTGTCTTAAATTTCTTTTCTTCTATTTTTTCATGAATATGTTGATTTTCTATGTTTTAAATGAAGCTTATGCATTTTTTATGAAATTATAGACAGTTAATAATGAAGTATGTTTGCCGTTTGCTAGGGAATTACCCTAGGATTCATGATTTTTATTCAAAAAAAAAAAATCCCATTGCCTAGGTGCCCACCTAGGCGACTAGATGACAAGGTGCCCCACTATCGCCTAGCTTCACCTTGGTGCCTTGAAAACTATGATGTAGGCTTTCTATTTGAGTAAAGTCAGATGTTTTTTCTGTTGGAGAATTTGTATTCAAATTGGAGAGCTTCTACCTATTTTATAGCTATTGACTTTTTATGATTACTTGCAGAGTAACCCAGTTGCTAGATGGCACATTTGCCAAGGTTCAATCAATAGCATTGCTTTCTCAACAGATGGCATGTATTTGGCAACTGTTGGAAGAGATGGTATTGTGTTTATGTACTCTTTGGATTGCAATAATACCATTTCACATTGAATTTGTACTAAATGTTGATAATCCAGAAATTATGAGATTGTATTTCACATGCCAGGTTACTTGCGGGTATTTGACTATTCTAGAGAACAGTTAATATGTGGTGGAAAAAGCTACTATGGTGCTCTACTGTGTTGTGCATGGAGGTATAAATTTGTCCTGATATGTGATCTTTAGGAGGTTATAGGCTGTTCAAGTATATTATTATTTTTTATTTTTTTAATTTTTTGCTCTGCCATATTTGTTGAAATCAGTCCCCACCCCCTTCTCGACAACTGCTAAAGTTTTTGTGAAGAAAATAGCAGCTGACAGTATGTTCTTGTCAGCATGGATGGGAAATACATTTTGACTGGAGGTGAAGATGACCTAGTACAAGTCTGGAGTATGGAAGATCGGAAGGTAGTAGCATGGGGTGAAGGACACAACTCTTGGGTAAGTTGCAACTGTTGTAGTTGCTATAATTTCTTTTACATTGTCATCTGATACATTTTAGATCGGGTGATTGGCAGGTCAGTGGAGTTGCTTTTGACTCGTACTGGTCATCACCCACTCCAGATGGAACAGGGGAAAATGTCATGTACCGCTTTGGTTCTGTTGGTCAGGTATGTAAAATTTCTATAGAATTACTGTTTGTTTATCTCCTTTCAATTTATTAGTTGGCAGATTAAGTGATCATCAATCATGTAGGTTTGATGTGCATGGTATTATTTTTATGTTGGCTTGTTAACAAGGAAATGCAGTTTAAGTTAATGTGGCTAGGTGACTCTTGGATATTTTAGGCTGGGAAGATGAGCTAATGCCTAGGCAACAACTAGGCACCTAAGCAATAAATAAATAAATATATATATATATATATAATGAAATTAATTCAGTAAATGATTGAATGACAACTTACAACTGAGTTTTAGGAAAAAATGACAAGATTTTTGAGACTTCCCTGGTCAAGAGAAAATATGAATACATACAGTAGGGGTTAAAAGCCTAGCTTTATAGAGACTGCTATCAAGATTATAAGACTTGTACATCTTTGTATATTTACACTGTATATTACTGATACATTAATAAAATTCTACAAGTTACCAATCAAAAAATTAAAATAGAATAAAGACTACTATCAATTTATAAAGGGGACTTAGTTATTTGCCCCACTAAGATGTTTATATCATTTTTTTGATGAATAATAAGATGCTTACAATATTTCTGTGCCACCCGTCTAGTTGGTCATCTAGGCAAATGGCTTATAAAATGCCTAGGTGGTCACCTGGTCAATGCCTAGGTAATGTTTTAACTATATTGGGGTGATTTGTGATCAATTTTATGCTATGACTCGATATAAATTAAATTCTCTGTTTCTTAAGCTAGGCAATGGAGATTCATTCCTTTTTATTTTGAGAAAAAGATAAGTTTCATCGCAAAAAGAGGGAAGGATGTATATGAGAGATGTGGGGTATCGGGTTTTTGATATAACCAAGGTCTGTAATGCCATAGCATCAGAATATGGTTTTCAGAGATAATCAATGCATTCGCTTCAACCCATAAACATCTGGATGCATGTCACGATGTTTATAGTCAGTAAAGGACCATGACAAATCAGAGGCCAATGAAGCATGTGGGGCACAATGAGGAATTTGATGAATGACTGGAGCTGTCCAAATTTGTTACAGGCTCACTAATTTGGTCCCAAGAATTGTTGTCAAACAGAAGCATATGTTGATTTTGGAATTAGGTTCACTTTACCTTCTTCCAGAAAAAGGAATTAGGTTAATCTTTTAGTTTATTTAGTGGTTGGTTTCTATTTGGAAGTTAGTGCGTTGGGTTCAAGCCTGGTACACCTACTTTGGCTCCCTAATAATGCAGGCATGACAGAAGAAAAAGAGAAATATTTGGACAATGAAAGTTCTAGGACCATCTGGTGATGAGCCCATGGGGGGCGGGGGGGAGTATTGGTTTGTCTTCTATGAACTTTACTGGAGATAGATAATCATGATTTCAACCAAAGTTTTACATGGGACCTGTGGCATTCATAGAGGTCTTTTAGAGAAGCTACTTGGGACATTGCCGTTTATATTAGGTAGAGTCATATCAAAGGAAACCAGGTAGTGGATGCTATGGAAAACAATGCATATAATCTCCAATAAAACACTTTTTCCCAAGTCAAACGTCTCTTTTCAGAATGCCATTGCTATGTTCTTTATGATGACACAACTGGGCTACCAAACATGTTAAGGGTATTTGGAGAATCATACCCCTCCAAGAGTCGGCATTTACATGGTTTCTGGCTTTGGATAACATCTTGATATCAGTCCATCTGAAATCAAGGGGTTATGAATTGAAAAGTCATTATTTTATGCATAGAAAGGCAGGAGGAAGATGTCTGAAATGTATTTATTTATTGCAGCATGACTGAGTTTATTTGAGCATTTTTTTTCTTCTCTACTTTTAATCACCAAAGAATTGTTTCTTCTCAACCATGAGTTATTTCTCTTTGGCCTTCTGGTAAGAAGGCAATGAAGTATCATTCTTTTTTGTAATTTACCGAGGCATTTGAGAGGGGAAGAGGGGGAGGGAAACAGGATTGGCACATTTTTAAGAAGTTCAATGATAAAAAAAAATGCTATTAATTCATCTTGACACTGAAGATATTAGCAAAGTGTCCAGATTAATAATCAACTTGGTGACTGAGGATGGATAGTTGCTATTTTTGTTTTAGTTCATGCTTAGCCCACTTTTCTAGGAGAATATCTCAATCATTCCTAAACAAAGAACAGATGATATTTCATTTCTAATTTCAGTTTTTGTGTTGGTATGCGATTTGATATTAGACTGTCTTTTTGCCAAATTCCTAGATATAGCAATATATTATCCACTGAGCTACTCTGGTTGCAACCCTGTGTTTGTGAGCAGGACACACAGTTGCTTTTGTGGGACCTGGTAATGGATGAAATTGTGGTACCCCTGCGCAGATGCCCCCCTGGTGGATCTCCCACATATAGCACTGGAAGCCAGTCCTCTCATTGGGACAGCGTTTGCCCAATTGGTACTCTCCAACCAGCTCCAAGCATGCGAGATGTGCCAAAGCTTTCCCCTCTAGTTGCACACCGAGTCCATTCAGAACCCCTATCTGGGTTGATATTCACTCAAGAATCGGTTCTTACTGTATGCCGGGAAGGGCATGTGAAAATCTGGATGAGACCAGGGTACGCTGAAAGCCAGTCAAGCAACTCAGATACTCCACTAAGTTCTAGCGCAAAGGATAAGTCACTATTGTCAGGCAAAGTTGGCAACTCTAGTTACAAGCAGTAGTCTTTGAGAACATTATTGGCAGACGAAGTTGGCAATTGTCTTTTTGTTACAGGATTGCATCTTCATTTGCTAACCTGACTGTATTTGAGGTGTTTCCATCTGATGGGTTGCCCACTTGCCCTGTATTGAGCAATGAGTACTTTTTAAGTTTATCAAGTCATTGGGTCCATTACTCGATGTGCTTGCGGTGAATAATTTACGGGTTCTTTTTTTTTTTACCTTGTATATTCATAGGGATAAATTGCCAGTTATGGCACTGCGGGGGAGGGCATCAAAGGTTGTAAGCAAACATGAACAGGCTATACAAATGTTGCTAAGACTAAAAAGAATAACAGAAGTTGCTCTTTCACCAGATCATCATTATTTACTTCTTCCAGAGTATGCTCAGAGTGAGCTTACGGCTTGCTGTTTGTTTGGGAAGACTGTCACTGTGGACAATTCTTTGCTTAGACATGGCTGTACAGTTCTTCATTCTTATATTATTGCATCCACAGCAGCCTTAAATCTTTTTCTATGGTAGATAAAAGGGATTTCATAATTAAGTCTGAGTTGGTTATCTGCTTCACTGTATTACCTAAAACTTACAGCCTTAGTCTGCGTTCATTGTGTTTCATACTTTCATTCTAGGAAAAGTCCAATATACACCGTACCATCGCAACATTTTGAGCCACGCAGAGTAGCAGCGAAGGACCCACCATTATGGATTTGCATTTCTTCCCTGATGCTATTTTTTCATTAACCAAGACTCAGTTTGTTTGCAGTGCAAAGCAAACATTTGCACTGATGTAAATATATGGAAATGCAAATAAGCTTAGTTAAATCTGAAGCAAAAGTGAGTCATAATTTATTCTTTGTTTTATTTTGTTTAGAACTAAATGATGTGGTTCCCAGTCTCACCGTATATGAAAGGAAACAGAGGTAGGAGGGTTAATGTGATCCCCACCTTACATGAGGGTGAATTATGGTAGGTGGAGCAAATTTGGGGTGCAAATTTTGCACTGACAGTGAATGCAAATGTGACATAAAGTACAAATTTCGCATCAGGTAGAAGTGTGAATCATAGTTACCAACAAATAGATGCAAAATTTGTATCCAGTTTAGATTTACATTGAAAACAAACAAAACCCAATGAATAATCTCGTGTCTTTAATATGCAAAGTGCAAACCATAAACAAATAGGGTATGTTGTACTTACCTGTAGGGTTTTTACAACCTAGGGTGGAACGGTGGTAAATGAAATTTTAAGATATGCATCGTAAAAAAGCATTACCAGAAAGATGGTGTGGAATGATCTATACACACACGTTTACCAAAAAAAGAAGGATCTATACACACACATACCAAGACACAAAATCCATATACATCGATTATAAGGCTCAAATTACTATAAATAAGATATGCACATGCTATATAATTGAAATATGCATGTATACCATAGGAAACCAGAAAAAATATATTTAATAACAAGCCATTTGATGCATAATTTCCAGAGATTTTGAGCTTCTGTTGCGAATGAGTGCAATGGAAAAAAGGTTAAAATCATGTCTTCAAGGTGATTTTTCACCACTTAATCTCCTTGACAGGACCAATTCAAAATCTCTGGCAATGGATTGTCATGCTCCAAGGCCACGCAACAGTTATTGTGGCCCATATTTGACATGGCTCAAGTAACAAGGAAGAAATGGATGCATTAACTAGAAGATGGAGACATTGACTACATAGAGAAAAACAAAATTTAGGGACTTAACCAAGAGGAAGGAGATCCACATTCAAAAGTGTCATGGGTTTATATAGAGATTAAAAAAACCAGAGCTATTGGAGCATTTAAAGAAAAACTAACTGTCAGAAACCTGCCTACAAACCATTTATTAGAACTCCAATGACAAACTGTTAGAAGTTCATCAAAAACTAGCTGTTAGAATATGATTTTGGTACTTCATGGAACATGATCATAGGCTGCATCAAGATTGAGGAGATACTGTTGTAGTTTACATGTGCAGATGAAGTTGCATTTCCATCAGATTCAGGAATTCTGGCACCCATATAAGGGATCAATTTATCTATTACTTCTCTCATCAGCTACCATAGAAATTGAACATTGTTACAAAATTTGGAAAATAGAAGCACCTAGGTATTAAAGATTTGAAACGGGGTAACTTATCCTGAAGAAGTCAGAAATTTCTCTGCCATCAAATAAGTTAGATTCCCTATGTAAAAAGGTGTCATTCGTTTGTTGTCCAATTACTACTACAATACATGCTCTTTGGATTAGTTGCACACCAAGGTAGCCAAGAAGACCTTAATGATACACATTTCTGGAAGCAGATAACTACTTATCTGCACGTTTCCTTACTAAGTACTTGCTGAACATCCTGACTTTCATGTTTCAGCTAATCTTCTTTCTTTTAATGCATCCTCAGCTCTGACTTTCTCAGGCACAAAATCTAGTAAAAAACAGAAGGAACAACAAAGTATGAATTTTGGCAAGGATGATAGAGAAGAAAATCTAAATGTCATATCTAATGGTAGTAGCAAGACCATGTGTAAACATGTTGAGGCATACACGAGAGAAAGGTTAAGCCTTGGATCCCAATCCCATCCAGATATGTACAAGGAGGGATAATGCTAGGGTATTGATATGGTTTCCTAAGGGTTGAGAGGATCCAATGATCTGGATTTAAATATGCAAGGCATTACCACAGTCAATTTGAAAATGCCTTAATTTAAACATGTCCATTGTATCATTTGTCAGCAGAAACTAGAAAGGGAAAACAGAATTGTTGATAAGAAATTACCTGAAAGAAAGTCGTATCTTTTCCGTTTAGAGACAACAGAAGCTGAAAAAAAAACAGAATAAGTAATTTCAGTATTTGCTGAACTATATAGACAATTAGAAAATCATGTAGTTTGACTAAACCATTTCAAATGTGAAAAAGTAGTTTATAAACCAGGGAGTCAGCAATGAACTTTAAGGGGGAAAAGGATCATCAACTGATATATATATATTTTTTTATCAATAACACTTTCATTAAATCATCAGTAGAAAATTTACAGGAGGAAGACAAACACACTTATCTTCCAAGAGCCACAAAGAGCCTCATGAAAGGAAAAAAAGAAGAAAAAGAGAAAAGAAGACACTAAAGTTACAGCTTAGCCCAAAACAGTGAATCCCTTTCTGCCGATCTTTTAACTGATATAGTGCATTTCAGATATCAAACAACTTGATTGCTTGAGTGGAATCAGAATTCAGAATATAACTTGGGCATAATAAAAGCACAAAAAGGGAGTCAAGCAAAGGGAACGGATGAATCTATTAAAAAAATTCTTCAAAGTTGCGCATGAACTCAAAACAGCTCAAGAGCAATTGATGTTCATAGATTTATTAGATTTGCCAATACTACCTCTAAAAATATTGGATTGGCAGGGTTTACATTGTTCATGGGATAAAATATTAATCACAGGGAAGACTTACAATATTGTTAATAAGATTTTGATTGTTTGTTCAGAGCCTTTGGTTTTTCTCCTATTTTTCAAAGGCATACGAGTGCCAAAAGTTGCCAAATCATTGCCTAGAGAAGGTATTACACAGGCATCATATCTAAAGCACCACCTAGTACTCTTATTAAAATGAAAGAAAAATGAAATAGGCAGAGATACACAGCAAATTTTGAAAATTACAATTTTTAGATTTTAAAATTAGTGACAAAACAGCAAATAGACCGAAATGTAGCTGATATTTTGACTAAACTTAGGATGAACAATGTAAATGATAATAAGGGGTTGGGTAACTGACATTAGCCCAACAAGTAGGGGATATCTACTGATGTACATATCATTCTTTTCTCATGATCAATAAAATCTAACAGTTTTTTTTTTCTTTTTTGATCAACAACTCAAAGAACTTTATTAGAAAAAGAAAAAGAGAATACAGCAAGAACTTGAACATAAAAGAATTTTGTGGTTTCCTACTAGAATTCTTGGCAAATTTGCAAGAATTGCAGGAAAGATCAACAACTTCTCTTTTCCTTCTCTTTGCTGTTAAGACTTAAGAAACATTTATATCTTTGACTTTGTTTTTTGTGGGTTTTGTTGTGATGATAAAATTATGGATTTGGCATTTCTGTATAGTTATGAGCATGGAATCATGTTATGTAAATATTTTCCTTCTTGTTTTATAGATGGACTATCCCTATCTTATACATGTGGCTGACCCTATATAGTTGGGATAAGGCTTGGTTGATGATGATGATGATGATGATGAGATGGGCCATTCCTATCTTATACAGGATGACACTTTACCAGTATCTCAAAGTAATGCTAGAAACAATTTGAAGGTCTGTGCAACGGTACCATGTGTCTGGAGAAGACATTACAGAGTCCAGGGATGACACTATTAGAAAAATCATAGGATTCCTTGTTAAGAAAAAGGACAGAATCTAGTAAGTGCACGTGACTGGTATTTAATTTGCTACAAGCATTTCCCATGCATGCTCCCCTTTTATTTACATATATATTGCTTTGAGTGTTAGTAAATAATAATTAGAAGCATAATAATAGAAAACACTACAAAAGAGAAGTAAATAATTAGGAACTAATTAGGAGTATAAAGAGTATTTAGTAGCATGCACTTCACAGAACCTAAACTAGTCCATGCCTATTATGAATGTCAGTAGGTTGGGTTAAGTGGTAAACCTATACCAGTCCAACCCTATCGGGTTAGGGTAGGGTTGGCCTTAATGGGGTTTCAGGTCTGGTTTGAGTTGAGGTGAACCCATGCTAAACCTTCCCCATTGACATTACATCATTGAAATGCTTGAATATATAGGTTTAGTTGAGCATAGGTGTATCATATATGGGATGGATCAGGTCAGTTCAATATCTTCTCTTCATCTTGTCAGGTTGGGTGTGGGTTGCCACTGCGCTGGAAAGGTTTCAATATGAACCAAACTTGTACCGAACCCAACCTGTTGACATCCCTAATTCCTATTAATCTAAAGGAACCCAGTTTCATAGCCAATCTACCAACAGAAACCATTCCCTTGAATGTAGCTTACAAGTAAAAGTGCCATTTTTAAGGACTGTTTGAGCAAGTTGAGTATCATGCTGGATGCCATTGTTCACTCTATGTAGTTTCCAGTTCAATAACCATCTTTTATTCCTTCTTGTGTTCTAAGTTTCTATAGGTAAGAGTTTTGAAGAGTTCTAAGTTCCATATAGGAAAGTGTTCAAGCTTTAGACAAAGAGATTGACTGATCGAACCAAGTTCATTATGTTCTTGAAGCTCCTATACATTCCACATATCCAAGCAGTATGACAGTTTCGCACCATGCCTAATATAAAATTTTCTTAATCAAAGACCTTTTTTCTTGATTTTACATGAAACATGTTCGGGAGAAAAAAAAAAAAAAAACTTCTGGTAAAAAATATCTGAAGTTAGGTAAAACATGTAGGTTGATCAGCATCCACATAAGGATAATTTCAGCTTGATTGTACTGTCAAAAGACTCTAAGTTGAATCAAGGTAAGATTGTATACTGATCATAGTTTTCAAGGCACCAAGGTGAAGCTAGGCAATAGAGGAGTGCCTTGTCTCCTAGACACCTAGACGGGTGCTTAGGCATCACCTAGGCAATGAGTTTTTTTAAATAAAAAAAATATATATAAATCCTAGGGCAGATCCCTAGGTTTTATAGTAATAAGCAGTGATCTTTAACTAATAATCACCATAATTCTCTTGATAGAAAGTGGACATATTTATGAATAGAAAAATAAGAAAGGAAAGAAACATACAAAACATAAGGTTGAGCCCTTGTTTTGGTCCTAGGAAGAAGAAGAAGTCCTGTTGATTGTTGCTGTGTGTCAATTGGATAAAATCTTCAAGTTATTTTTTACTTATCAATTCAGGTTTTAAAGTCTTAAAGGGTTCAAGACTATGTAACTGACTTGTGTCTCGACTGAACCCAAACAAACAAGAAAATAACAAAAAGAAACTAGTATAAGAATAACAATATTAATACTATAACCCCGCAATATGAATAATTTAGTCTAATAGTATCTATTTTACTAATATTAATAACATAAAATAAAAATATAAAATATTGTGTGGTGTCTTACATATAAATATGTAGGCGCTTGGGCGAGGTGACCCTCCATGGACGCCTTATCGCCTAGGCGCCGCCTTGACAACTATGATACTCATATGTTCATGTTGCAGATGAGATGCTGTTCTGTTCTTTAGCACTTTCTGTTGTTTGTCCACAGCAGAAAGGAAGTTCAAATATGTATTCCATGTCACGCAGTATTGTCTGTGGCATGTTTTATCATCCATGCCTTATCCCAATTATATGAGGCCAGATACATGAATCCTGTTTCGCCAATCCATTCCATTTAAAACCATATCCACTATTAAATTATTAGTGCTTAAATCATTTCTTAATACTACCCATGTCCTTTTCTATCTACCCCGAGCTCTTCTAACCCCTTCAGGCTTCATGAATCCTGAATCCTGTTTCGCCAATCCATTCCATTTAAAACCATATCCACTATTAAATTATTAGTGCTTAAATCATTTCTTAATACTACCCATGTCCTTTTCTATCTACCCTGAGCTCTTCTAACCCCTTCAGGCTTCAATGTGTAACAAATCACTTCTTGTAACAGGCGCAGTTGGTGGTCTTCTATGCACATGCGGATTACACAAATTGAATTTTTTCATGTTCATGAACACACTTTTCTGTTTTACCTTTTCGAGGTTAAGTTTCACATTGACCGCTAAGAACACACGTTTATTTCCAAAGACCGTTCTTTCTAAAAGTGACCTTATGCTTTCTGAACCAATTGAGGTGTTAGAATCCATCTCTCTAGGATTTAGTGCATTAGAGAATGAGTTGGAAAGATTATTGAGCTCTCTATTATTATGAGTAGCAGTTAAATTTCATTAAATTACAAAGGTCATAGCATTGAGGTAATGAGTAAATAGACGATGGAGCAGTTGAAATGGCAATTTATAGTGCTCGAAGAACAGAAATAGAGGAGCACATGCCAATGAATGGTAGTTGTACAGTGTCAACCCTGAAAAAATGGAGATAGAGGACTTACAAAGGTGCTTGTAGCCAACAGATTTCTTACGATCCTGCACAGAACATGCATATGCATCTTCACAAAATAATTCAAGAAAAAGCTCCTGCAACCAGCAAAAAACGGTATTTTTTAAGTTTAGAAAACAATCAAAATTTAAAAAGAAATTAAAACGAATCGAATGCATTCCAGGTAAAGAGTAGCGTATAAAGATGCAAAACACAAAACGAAATAAACGTTTCGGAGTAAACTAACCAAAGCAGAAGGATTTTCATGTTAACATTGATGCACAACGATAATGTGACAAAAATATCATACAGCAGGAGTAAAAGCAGCAGCAGAAGGAGAAAAGAAGAACTTGTTAAGAGTGCTTATACGTGATTGGTGTCAAAACTCTAAATGAATGCAAATTATACGAGGTGTAAGCATAAATTATAGATGACAAAATGGATGAGAATGGAAAATTGATCAACCAATAGACTCGAAACAATTGATGGGAAACAAAATTGATTGTGTTTCTCCAAAAATCTCGACAGTATTTGAAGGTACAGACAGGGAAGGATAAAATGCCCTAAAAGGAAATGTGAAGCAAAGATTTTGCTTTTAACTTGAGAAACTGCTTTTATTTTAAGGAGAGAGAGAGAGAGGGAAGGGGTGAAAGAATCAAACCGTAGCTTTATTGAAGAGGAAAATGGACTCTTGGGTTGTCCGGAAGTCACCCTCGTTCCTTACGATCCGTTTGATCCGATTCATCGGGAAACGGCATGAACCCGCCTCACCGTTTGATCTATTTAGGTTCCCATTAATGTTGATGTCCTCCTCGTCGTCGTTACCATCATCTTCCTCTTTTGCCGCCTGGTTGCTGTTTCCGTTGGAGTCGTTGCTGCTCTTTGCTTCTTCGTCTTCTTCTTCTGGTTCTCGAGAAGAAGAGGAAGGAACTTCGACCACCTCAACCTCTGCCTCTTTTGACACCCTATTCCTCTTGTTCTTGGCCTTGGGCTCTCCCTTTGTGTCACGGGTTCCTGTTGATTTTCTGCTCTTCATCTCTTGTTTGTTTGATTCTCCAACAGCAACCCTCGGGCTCTCAGCTCCCGGGTTTAGCTTCAGCTGCTCTAGTTCAAAACGTGCTGAGCGGCACACTCGCACCGTCTCGTCCCTGAACGGAGTCCGGTTCTGCCGCACACTTCGCACCGTTCTTAAATGGAGCCCACCAAATCTCCAATCCCGCAATGCCTGATTCCGATTGCCTTCGTTCCGGTTCCAATCCAGGCCCAAATGACTAACCGGCACCGCCATCCGTCCGATTCGAAAAGTGGACCCAATTCATTTGAGTGATCATGTGATCAAGGTTCAACCGTCTGATCTACCTCAAAGCTTTTTTGTAAATTAGAAAGACCCCCGCTATTATGAGGTCAGTGATAAATATCCCTGTATTTTTATGTTTTCATTTGCGACGATAAAGACCACTCATGCTCAGTTTGGAAGGAGCATAAATATGTAGAGTGCAAAATTATATATTTTGTATTATTTTATATATATATTCCTTCCAAACTGAGCCTGAGCTTTTACATTGCAAATTTGCGACCCGTTAGTGTTATATCAGTTAATTTCGGAAAAGATTTTCATTTAATTGTTTAAAGTTTTTTAATCTTAAAATCGTCTTTTTATCATTTTTTTTTGGATGATTTTACCCTTTCATAACACAACAATTTCTAGAAATATTGGTTGTCAAGTCAAGTGGTTAAAAACTTGAAATACTTGGCCTGGCAAACATACATGTATATGGGTTCTTCTCTAATGATAATCATAAAAATAACTTCTTTCTCCTGATTTTTTTTGGTATCACCAGAAATTTTTCTATATCTGACGATGGTTTGTATCTCTTCAATAGTGAAAGAGTGGCAACAACTTCAAGTGAAAAGTGATGTAGGGTTCTTGTCAAAAGGTTCTTCGAAGATTGAAGCGGGAATTATTTTGCTCATTTTCATCATTTTGAAAATTTCATTTCACACTCCCTTGAATTATAATTGTAAAGAGGGCATTTGGTAATTTAGCACCTTCTATCGGTTGATAAGGCTCTTTTTTGGTGCATCTTTTTGTATGGGTTGTTGGTCTTTTAGAAGCCTGTTAGCTCACGTTTTGATCTTTTCCCGTTTGGTTGAGAAAAGATCTAGTTGCAGTCTCGAAAAGATACGAAAAATTCATTTTGGGCTATTTTCATAGAAGTTCATATCGTCTTTTGACTAGGGGTGGCAACGCTCTTCACGAGCCGACTCAAATATATAATTCTTAATTTTTTAAATATCAAATAAAAATATTTTTATGTATAATTTTTTATTTTTATAAAATATTTTTTTTTTCAAAATCGAGCTCAAGCCGAACCGAGCTTGAGCTTACGAGTTTTTGACTTGAGTCGAGCTCGAGCTCAAGGTTCTAGCTCGAACCAAGCTCGAGCCTTGTACTATTCGGCTTGGCTCAGCTCGAATCCACCCCTACTTTTGATTACCAAAGCTTCTAGATCTAATATTTTTCAAAAAAAGACTTGCCAAACAACCCCTTAACGATCAAGGGGGTCTTTGTCACTAACCCCATATGATAGGGGGGTCTTCTTAATTTATTATTTTTTCTTTTTCTTTTTCTTTTTTTTTTTGGTTCATGGGGCTACAAACTACCCCTTGGTAGGAATGGGATTTGATCTACCTCAAGTTGGACTTGTGTTAGATGAGCTCTAGTCTAGTCTCCATGGATGTGGATGTTATTAGAGATTACAAGGGTGTTCCACACCAACCACTGTAATGTGGATTGATCTACACCACACCACTATCTATTATTATTCTAAGATATGGACAAAATGTGTAAATTAAAATGATCGACATCTAAAGGAGCATTTTTGTAGGTGTGGTGTGGACTGGTATTGATTTCAAGCATATCAAATACAACATATGAGATGATCTACATAGTCCATCATGAAAAAAATTCTTATATTTTAAAGACAAAATAATCCAAAATCACAATTGATAAAATAAAACATCAAGATATATTTACTAATAAATATAAAAAATATATTTATCATATATGACAAATATTAGAGGATAAAATGCATCAAAATTGAATTTATCTAATAATAAAAATCATTTTTATTAACAAAATATGGTAATAAAAATAATGAAAATGATGCAAGTATTAGGGCTTACAATAGTAAGGGCTTGATGCAATGCATTGAATCACTCCAATCAGACAACTATGGATCATCCCCATCCACGAGCGAGATAAAAGGGGAGAGGAAAAACTGGATTGTGGATAGTCCTGGTCCACTAGATATTGTGGATCAGGACCGTCCATGGCTGACCAAATGGCACAATCACTCATGAATGGGACCGAAACAATCCCACGAGATGACCATGAAAATGAATACCACCAGCATTGTTGTGTTTGGTTTGAACTTTGAAGGAAAGAATAGGGAAAGAAAGGGAAAGATAGGAACAAACTTGTATAGGTTTTCTTACATTTTCTTTCCTTTCTCTATCTTTTCCTTCAAACCAAATATAATATAAGGGATTTGGGGGGAGTCTACTTAAGGATAAAGGCTATTTTGATTGCAGTCCAATTTGCTCACTAGTTTCACCGGACAGTAGTGGTTATTTAAGGCCATATCATCGAGACTTAAAAAAAAAAAAAAAGCAGAAATTCCTTCCTTCCCATGGACTTTGTTTGATAGCTCAGATGGCAAAATGTTTTACTAGAAAGGTGGTGTGGATTAATGGTTATCAGTAAGGTACTGGGCAAAAAACCAAATAAATTTATAATTGAGTTCCTTAATACATTTGTTTTTATATTTTTAATATTAATTTGTTTATAATTAGTTCAAGTGGAGCTGAGCTCAAGTAACTCTCAAGTATTGACTCAAGTTGGGTTCGAGTAGGAAATTTGAAATTCGATCAAATTCAAGTCTAATTTCAAGCTCTGAGTTTTTGAGTCAGGTTGAGCTTGATTTATTTAATAATTGACTAAACTTGGCCCAATTAAATCTCTAAAAGGCTTTTTTCTAGTTCCAAATTTTGTAGAGGAATTAGATAAAGTGATTTTATGTCCTAGTTAGACCTGTTCATGGGCCAGATTTGGATTAGGTTTTTGTCAAAATTCTAATGGGCCTGGCTCCAAGCCCAAATACAAGATAGTGTAAAATTGGGCCCAAAGCCCGGCCCATGAACAGGCCTCATTAACGAGTATATTGAGTTCAAGGGATGCCGTCCAAATTTTCTAGACAAGGTCCCTTATTGTTCCATATCTTCCTTGTTGATCTGCTTATTCTCTACAAGGCCTCCTTGGTGTAGACCAAACTGATTATAGACATGTTAGATACCTATTGTCATAGAACTGGTCAAATTTTGGAGGTCATTGTTTACTTCAGCTAATGTTCCTCCAATCCTCCTAGACTATCTAGCATGATTCATTGGTAGAAATTTCCGAGGGTCCAGCTTTAAGGAATTAAAAAGAAAAGAAAGAAACCTAAGAATTTCTTGCTTTTGCCTAATCTTTTAATGATATTTTAAAAAGATCAAAAAAAAAAAAAAACTACTTAGATGGAAATTCGTTGAAGTGGAGGCTCAGTTTGGAAAGAGTATAAATGCAAATTTGTAGAGTGCAAACCCTTGTATTTTGTATATATTTGCACAGTGCATATTTGTATTTATACTCCTACCAAATTGAGCCAAAAGGAGGGGTTGATGGAAAGAATAGCAAATGGCCGTGGTACAAATTCAAGTTTTAGAAATATTGCATACAGGGTTTTGCATTGAACATATTTATATTTGCACTCTTCTCAATTAGATTTCTCATTTATGCCAATGGACTCTTCTGTTAACAACTACTAATAAGTCAATTCAACTTTCTGAGTAGAAACAATCTGTATTCGGTTATATTGCACTCTGGACAATATGGAAATGAGAAATGAAATTTGTTTTTCAGAATAGGAGTTCAAATATTCGAGGAACAATAAAGGCGAATGTTTATGTAAATGATATTCAGGGGGATTGGTGTAAGACCTATCTACCCCCTGAAATAGGTCAGACCCCGAAATGGTTACTGCGAAAACATATCGGAGGGTCACTGATACCATATATATCGGCTAATACGTCTCAATATGCTATGGAATTTTAGTCCATGGCAGTAGCATATTTAAACACTTTTCAGTTTTTTCAACAATATGAAATATTTTATATAAATAAGAAGATTTTTTTTTTTTTTTTTTTGAGAAGAATAACCCGTAGGCAATTCATTCATTAATGTCAATAATTAAATCAGATACAAGAGCAGTATTTAAGAAGGGGGATCACATGAACAAGTAAAACAAGATGAAACATTCAATCCGTGATGGGTAGCAATTAGATAATGAATAGAACATCAAATTCCATCGACATTCGACAGTAAGGCTGTGTTTGGTTGTAATGTAAATAAATTTGTACTGATGTAAAATCATGACAGTGCAAATGATTTGAGTGTAAATTTATGGCAGTACAAATGAAGTATTAAGACAAGAAGCAGAATAAAGTAAATTTCAAAACAATAATTTGCATTTTTTTTTTTATATTTGCATTCTCATACATTTGTACTAGTGCAAATAAATTTTCATTGCAACTAAACACATCCTAAGAAAAAAATAGACGGCCTGATATACTAGAACAACACGGCACCCTGATCCAATTTTTTCTCTTTTTTTTTTTGGACTTTTCCTCAAATAATATTTTGTTTAAAAAAGCAATGAATATCCTATTGATTTATTTAATATATTGTTATTTATAATGGATTGGGATTCAACTCCCCCGGGCTTCACCATTATTTTAACTTAATAATATGTTTAAATGTGCCTATTATTTAGATTGATGAATTTTTAATCTTATGGTGATGTATTTCTTATCTAATATTGACCCACAACCACAGACCAGACCTCAGAGGATTAAAGTCAATAAATTAAAGTAGTTTTATTTGTTTTCCGTCAGCAAAAATAAATAAATAAAAGGGAATGAAGAAACAAGGAGTTTTCTTTTGAATGGTAGTGCCGTAATTAATTTAGACTTTTACAATGACGACGACTTTGTTCCCTTGTCATATACGTTGAAGTAATGGAATGATTCTTTCTTATCTTTGAAGTTGTAGGCATGTAGCTTCGAGATCGGATTTGCTATTCACAGAATGTCACAGTGCATCGCAGTCCTGTATTGAAGATATCTTTCATACTTGATGTCATCATTCATGGGAAAATGTTTTCAAGGCACGGCTGCACTGTGAGATTGATGTGAGGCGAGAGAATA